AATTCGGGCCTGTGTTGACAAAACACTGTTACTATCGAATGTTCCATATATTCGCTTGCTGACCTACTAAGTAGAGTACCCACCTCTGTGGTACGGATCGGGTCTGCGCCTTGTAGTGCGGCGGAATGGGTTAGTGCAGAGTCTGTACATAGTCATCAAATAAATAACAATGCACGTCTAAATAAACAGAAGATTTCCAGAGTAAAATATTGATATATAGGAGCATCTCTGAGTAATAAGGCGCCTAGAATAGCTCCTGGTGTGACCCATACTCCCATAGGCTGGACCCCGAACCTGATGGTATAAAACTGGCCGAGACTTGTCTTCCCTCTTTATATGTCCAATTGTTTTGCAAATCCCGGGAACTGGACATATAAAGAGGTTTGACAATTGTTGACATTCTTTTCTAAATATTTATTAATTTTATTTTGTTCAAAGACTGGTATATTTGTTTCCAGAAAATTGAAAAGAGTATTTCTCTTCAGCCAATAAAAACATTGATTGTTTTGGTTTTCTCAAAGTACGCAGTATTTAAAAAACAAAACAAAATACAACCTCTTCTTTCTCTTGTTGTTGCCTGTTTATTAGAAAAAGAAGGCTGTGTATATTGGTATGTGTATTTTTATATTTTTAGCTATATACAGTATAGGTCGTTAATCCCTTCTTGGTAAAACGAGTGAAAAACAAATCACTCTCAGTCTCAGACCTCAGTCACTGTGTGGGACAGGAACGGGGGAAGTGGTCAAGTCACAAGTGGCAGGCTGGCTGCCCCTCTCGACTCTAAATGTTTTTTTAACACTCGTTGCCATATATGACAATATTTAGTTTTCGCGGGTCAACATAAGTCTTATTTAACGATAATTCGGTTTCCCCTCGCAGTGCAAGCATTGGACCATTTGGACGTAAACGCAAACAAAATGATTTTATATTTATTTTTTAATTTGTACATTTTAACGTAAACAAGATAAACTACTCGCTCGAGCAGTCGAGCCTCGAGTATTCCACTTCGTTGAAATCCCGATGGTCATGGTATTTACTATTAAATGTCATGAACGTTTTAACTTTAAAACGCAGAAACGATTGATGTTAACCGTTTTAACGGGAAACGAACTGTGGAGGTGTCAGGCTGTCAGCCTGTCAGGCGTCAGCACTCCAGAGCTCTCACGATATACTCAAAAGCATCACGCGTAAGTATGTATTGTAATCAAATCAATCAATCAATAAATAAACGACTGCGGTTGCTGATACAATACCTTCATATATACGCGTTAACCTTGTTATATACACACGATTCGTTTCAAGTTTGTAAGAATACAGTTTGTGTATTGGATATATCAACACAGACGCATCAGAAAGTATACGTTGTACCTGGCAGTGAATGTGCTCGCTTGTTGAATTCCATACGACGTGCTTCACTGCCGAATCCCTTGCCACCTTTCGCACTTAACTTATACTCTGTATTCACTCATATAAAATACATATATTAACTTGCGGACACCCCCGAATAACTGTTATACTCTCTACACACAAAGGCCTCATATCTAGACTCAGCGATAGCAAAAGTTATACAGTTTTATCATCTCAAAAGCTACTAATTTGCACTATGGGAAAAAAGAAGGCTCAGAGCGGGCCTAAACCGGGGTCTGGACAAGGCGGTAAGAAGAAGAAGAAGGTGGTAGGAGGGGTCGACAGAGGGTTTGCTACAGCCTCGGTAGCATCCACGGTGAAAGAATCTACTGCGGTCGAAGAAACACCCACCGTTGTACCTGATATCGATACTAGCAAGTATACGAATAAGAAGAAAAGGAATGAGAAGCCCGACGATACGCCAGAAGAAAGTTCTATACTCGAGGAGGATGCCGAGCTGACCTATTCGCGGTCGTGGGTCCCCGATACGAGAGTCCCCGAGGATGTAATGACCACACTCCCGCCAACAAGCTCATATACAGCCACAGATGATACGGGCAAACGCAAGACTATCACGTACACACTCTCACAGCCGGCTACACCTCTGAGTATTACTCAGGCCCAGGAAGCGCGTATCGTCGAGCTCATGAAAATGGAAAGCGGGATGGATAGCGGGGTAGTATCAGGTGGGAGTACGGGAAAGTTAGGTAATAGCGGTGAGGTAGGTTATGACTTCCTGCGCTCGCTGCATGATTTCTTGAATGATAAGGTACAGATGAGTACTTTGTGGATGGACAGGGCTATAGCATACGCGTACAAGACACAGACAAGTGATGTGCGTGCCATCATAGATTATGTGTATCTGACGCACGCAGAAGAAGGGGACAATACTGAGGACATTCACGTTTCTATATCAGACGAGGGCTCGGCTGCTGATCGGGGGAATACTGGCAACATGTATGCATCACGTGTTCATGTGATCGATGTCTTTATTGAGTGCTTGGAGCTGCATATATGAGAGTGTGCATGAGTGCATACAGCCGTATGGTTGCCATATGGTTGCCTTATTAAGTCGTGGTGGATGTGTATATAGGGGTATATATATATATGTACACACACACACACACACACACACACACA